CCAATTTTAACAGATGTCTCGAAGGACAGCCAACAGCAAATCTGGGCCCTCCAGATTGAGAAATCTCCAGGCAGCCCAGGACCAGTCGATTTTTCAAACGAGTGGCCTCAGGCCCTCAGCTCCAGCGGCCCATTCATTCCTGCCTTTTTCACGCGTTGGTGGCCAGAGTGCTGCTGGCCGAGGAAGAGAAGAGGAAGGCTGGTGTCAGAGGAGGAGGAACAGCACCAGCCCTGGAAGAAGAGGATAGCAATAGATAGGAAGGGTGCTTCATGATTGCCGTTAGTCCTGTTCATCTTCAGTGCAAGAGCGCTTGATCAGTGAGCCATTACGCACTCTTTTAACTTCGGCCATTGCAGGGTGGACTATTCATGTGTAGACGGTACCCTCTGGGGGGAGGTAGGCCAGACTTTGGAGTTTGGACTCTGGAGGCATAAGACCAAAGGCCAGAGAACAACCTTCTCACCAAAGGAGGAGACGGAAAACAAAGGCCCCAGCATTTTGGAGAAAGATTTCAGCAAACAGACGTCAGGAGCAAAATGCCCCCCCCTCAAAAAAGAGGGGCGAAAAAAGAGGAAAGAAAGAGGGAAAAAAAGAGCAAAATGCACAGGTAGAGAGGCGTTACGACAAATCAGGCAAAAAAAAAAAAAAAAAAAAAAAAAAAAAAAAAAAAAAAAAAAAAAAAAAAAAAAAGCAGAAGGAGCTCCTTCTGCACAAGATTTTCCGGGATGAGGAAGACCTTGTACCGTTGGGCACTGGACTCAATTCCCAGCCCAAAAAAACAAAACAAAAACCAAACCAAACCAAAACAAAACAAAACAAAAAGAAAAAGCTTTTTTTGAGTTTTTTTTTTGGACTGGAGCCGTCGGCAATGGTGCTCGTATCAAGTTGAACTGCAATAGTACGCTCTGCGGATGTTTGAAGAAAAAAAAAAAGGGCTTTTTAGTAGTTTTTACTTCGGTTGGGATGCTCTACTTGTGGAGGTGATAAGAGCACCTCCCTAAGTACGCCTCCGAGTGTGAAGGTTCCGGTTTATTGGTGGGGAGCTGCACCTGATGGAAACTGGGTCTAGCGTCCCACTTTGGACACAGAAGACTGACGGCTATGGGTGGTCAAGCACATCATTGATTGGCGTCATCAGAGCGGACTGACTGAACCTGCCTGTTCTGTTATCACTGAATTTTCCAAAATTCTCTTCCTGTACTGTTTCCATTGACTCTATCGCTGTCGAAAAGGCAAATGGCTTATATGATAGGGTGGTGTGAGAAAATGAAAAGAGGGTACAGGAGGGCATGCGGAGAGGGAGATAAGAGGACACGTGGGTTGAGGAGAGAGGTGGGATGAATACCTCTGTCTCTTTCTGGACAAACTGGAGCTTCTCTTTCAAATGTGTGAGGACTTGTACGGTAACTGTCGTCTTTTTTCTTAGTTTTTGCAGCTCTTCACTGCGCTCATCAATCTGCCACAAGATAATTTATCGGGGTGAAGCACAAGATGGTGTTGTTGTCGTGAGCAACCCAACTGTCCAACTTCACTGGTTTGCAAGCAAACTCTCTCTCTCTCTCTCTCTCTCTCTCTCTCTCTCTCTCTCTCTCTCTCTCTCTCTCTCTCTCTC